CGTGTAGCCTCGACAGACTGTTGAGCCAAGTGCTGTCAGCGAGGAGCAGCGTCTGTGAAGGCCGGCACGGCACACGAGGGGGTGGGTGGCCAGCACCACGCCCAGCCGACCGTGAGGGATAGTGAGGAGTAGTGGGGGAGGGGAGGAGTAGTGGGGGACTAGGTGAGGGATAGTGAGGGAGGTGAGGGATAGTGAGGGAGGTGAGGGATAGTGAAGGAGGTGAGGGATAGTGAGGGAGGTGAGGGATAGTGAAGGAGGTGAGGGATAGTGAGGGAGGTGAGGGATAGTGAAGGAGGTGAGGGATAGTGAGGGAGGTGAGGGATAGTGAAGAGTGGTGAGGGATAGTGAGGGAGGTGAGGGATAGTGAGGGAGGTGAGGGATAGTGAGGGAGGTGAGGGATAGTGAGGGAGGTGAGGGATAGTGAGGGAGGTGAGGGATAGTGAGGGAGGTGAGGGATAGTGAGGGAGGTGAGGGATAGTGAAGAGTGGTGAGGGATAGTGAGGGAGGTGAGGGATAGTGAGGGAGGTGTGGGTTAGTGAGGGAGGTGAGGGATAGTGAGGGAGGTGAGGGATAGTGAAGAGTGGTGAGGGATAGTGAGGGAGGTGAGGGATAGTGAGGGAGGTGAGGGATAGTGAGGGAGGTGAGGGATAGTGAGGGAGGTGAGGGATAGTGAGGGAGGTGAGGGATAGTGAGGGAGGTGAGGGATAGTGATGGTGGTGAGGGATAGTGAGGGAGGTGAGGGAGGTGAGGGATAGTGAGGGAGGTGAGGGATAGTGAGGGAGGTGAGGGATAGTGAGGGAGGTGAGGGATAGTGAGGGAGGTGAGGGATAGTGAGGGAGGTGAGGGATAGTGAAGAGTGGTGAGGGATAGTGAGGGAGGTGAGGGATAGTGAGGGAGGTGAGGGATAGTGAGGGAGGTGAGGGAGGTGAGGGAGGTGAGGGATAGTGAGGGAGGTGAGGGATAGTGAGGGAGGTGAGGGATAGTGAGGGAGGTGAGGGATAGTGAGGGAGGTGAGGGATAGTGAGGGAGGTGAGGGAGGTGAGGGAGGTGAGGGATAGTGAGGGAGGTGAGGGATAGTGAGGGAGGTGAGGGATAGTGAGGGAGGTGAGGGATAGTGAGGGAGGTGAGGGATAGTGAGGGAGGTGAGGGAGGTGAGGGATAGTGAGGGAGGTGAGGGATAGTGAGGGAGGTGAGGGATAGTGAGGGAGGTGAGGAGTAGTGGGGGACTAGTTGAGGGATAGTGAAGAGTGGTGAGGGATAGTGAGGGAGGTGAGTAGTGAGGGAGGTGAGGGATAGTGAAGAGTGGTGAGGAGTAGTGAGGGAGGTGAGGGATAGTGAAGAGTGGTGAGGAGTAGTGAGGGAGGTGAGGGATAGTGAAGAGTGGTGAGGGAGGTGAGGGAGGTGAGGGATAGTGATGGTGGTGAGGGATAGTGAGGGAGGTGAGGGAGGTGAGGGATAGTGAGGGAGGTGAGGGATAGTGAGGGAGGTGAGGGATAGTGAGGGAGGTGAGGGATAGTGAGGGAGGTGAGGGATAGTGAGGGAGGTGAGGAGTAGTGAGGGAGGTGAGGGATAGTGAAGAGTGGTGAGGAGTAGTGAGGGAGGTGAGGGATAGTGAGGGAGGTGAGGGATAGTGAGGGAGGTGAGGAGTAGTGAGGGAGGTGAGGGATAGTGAGGGAGGTGAGGGATAGTGAGGGAGGTGAGGAGTAGTGAGGGAGGTGAGGGATAGTGAAGAGTGGTGAGGAGTAGTGAGGGAGGTGAGGGATAGTGAAGAGTGGTGAGGAGTAGTGAGGGAGGTGAGGAGTAGTGAGGGAGGTGAGGAGTAGTGAGGGACTAGGTGAGGAGTAGTGAGGGAGGTGAGGGATAGTGAAGAGTGGTGAGGGATAGTGAGGGAGGTGAGGGATAGTGAGGGACGAGGTGAGGAGTCGTGAGAGAGCCGCTCAGCACAGCTGGTAACCGGTTCGGCCGAGCGGGGGATGCGAGCAGCTCTCTACCCTCTACAATGGGTGCCGTGGTTCTCCGAGTTCCTCCTCTTGCGATGGACTCCCCGCGAGTGAGTTGTGACCGCGGACTGCTGACGAAGTTTCTCACCTCCTCAGCAACTTCATCCTTGCAGCGCCGCAGGCCTCTCCTCGTTGGGACGGAGGTTTGGACTTGGTCCTCGACGCGCTTCTGCGGCCGTCTGGAACGCTCTTCCTTGCGATATGAGGAAGCCACTGAGGAGCGGTGCACTTTTAAATCATCATCGTCATGGTTGAAAACTAATTAGTGTTGTTGTTGCCCGTTCGCCCGCACCTCCGATTAGCACTGTTGTCTGCGTACGGTGCGAAAGAAGTTAACTATACATACAAGTGCCTCACACATTTCCCCTCGGCGTCAGGAGTAGGAGGAGGAGGAGGCGAGCCGAAACGATTTCATCCCAAAATTCGCTCTCTGCGGGTAGATTGCAGGGCTGCGCCTGTGCCCTCCGCCGCCTTCACAGCACGAGTGCACGTTTGCCATCTCGTGGCTGAGCGGAGAATCATCTCTCGCAGATGAACCACCCTCTCTCGATGATGGGGGGGGGGGGCAGCACCACGCCCTACCGCCTTTGTCTCCCTAGTGGTGATATAAACACACCGCACCAAGTACTCATTTGAGGCGGAGTCGACCTAGGGGAGGCCCGAAACCGGTTCAGATAATTGTCACTGATTTTGGCGGTGAGCGGGAAACGAAACTCGGGTCGCCAGGTTCGTAGTGCAGCGCGCTAAGCACCACGCTACTGCTTCCCACTCACTCACTCATCCATCCACTCACACACCCACCCACTCACACTCTTGCTGACATACTCACCCGCTCACTCACCCAGCCACTCACCCCCTCACTCACCACACCGCAGGTCACCTCGCTTCTATTTCTGCTTCATCCCTCGCACTGCTCCCCTTTGGAATTCCCTCCTCCCATCGTCGTCCCCTTTCCCCCAAAACTCTGAGAATAAATAACCTCGCTTAAGTCAACGGGCGGCTTCCGCTCTCCTTGTCCATTACAACGGGGGCCGTGCTGTTTGTTGCTGGCCGCTCGACATGTTTGGGCTTTTACTCTGCAGCAGAGTCGTTGCCTGAAACATCGGGGCCAGTTCACCATCGTTGGTTAAAGCGACGCTGACTCTGCTGATGAGACACTGAATGTCAAAGTCGGCCACGTGGAATGTGTGAATGCTAACTGACCGTGCGAGGGTTACGGAGTCATCTCGCTTCTTCAGGACTGCTTCTTGTTGCTGTTGTTGCGGTGTTTGGTGTTGTTGTCCTTCTCTCCGCACCTCCGATTAGCACGGTTGGCAACGCACGGTGCGAAAGAAGTTCAACACACGTACGGTACATACATCCCCGGTGATAGTAGGAACAAAAATACAATTATTCCCAGAAGGCCGTGTGGCTGGCTGATGGGATGAGTCAAATATTCTGTATTATTATTATTACGTTGACGTTAGTGTGCAGAGACAGCTGTGTGAAGGATGCGAATGTGTCCGGGTGCACAGCCAGAGACCTCACGAGGCGACCGCCCCGAGTCCCGCGCTTTGGGGGGCCCCACGCGTTTCCCTGGTTTTGTTTGTAGGCGTCGGGGTGGAGGAGGCCACACGATGCGATTTACCGCGCACCCCCGCCTATGGATAGCCCTGTACACACGACTCTACATATGTAATAATCTCCTTCAAGCTGCGGTGGCTAGGAGATGTTGACTACCTCACCTAGGAGATGGTGGTGTGCAGGAGGTCGTGAGTTCTATCCACACCCTGACGCCTACTGCTGCATATTCGGAGTTTGCGGCACATCTCTCGCTCTCCATTGTCCCGTGGGTTTTTCTCCGAGACCTCCGGTTTTTCTCTCCACATTTAGAATCAGTATCACCACGCGTTCAGAGTGTTGCTGCTGCTGCTGTAAATGTCCACGTGGTAGCCAGGTCACTGACGAAAAAAAGAGCTACACAGGCTCAGTTGGCCTAGCCTGGTAGAATAAAATAAATATTAGTCTTATAGTTTATAATTTTAATTAAATAACTACAACTGCCCCTTAAAAAAAATAAAACCAGCGTGTTGGCGGGGTGGGGGGCTTGGGGCAGTGCACGTGGCTGGAGGGGATGGCCGGCGGTCAAGAATAATAGCGGAGCGGCAGCCCAAGGAGAGAAAGGAATGCGATGCTCCACCCCGCTCGTGAGCACGGCCCAGAAGCGGAGATCTCCGTGCACCCCCGTCGGTGGGGTGGGGGCATAGGAGGCCCTGATCCAGCAGTGGACTGGCCGTGGCTGATGATGGTGGTGCCTTGGACTGCGCTACGAACCCGGCGACCCGAGTTCGATTCCTGTTGGCGGCCACCAACACCGGTGACGATTATCTGAACCGGTCCTGGGTCTCCCCCCTCGGTCGACTCAGCCTCAAACGAGTACCCTGGTGTAGCGGCGGTGTGTAGTAAACATCGCCACTGGGGAGACAAAGGCGGCCGGGCGTGGTGCTGGCCACCCTCCCCGCTCTTGTGACGTCCCGGCCTTAATTGGTGCTACTCGCTAACAGCACTTGCCGCAACAGTCTGTTAAGGCTACATGGGGGACCTTTGTCTTTGTATGTGAGAGAAACAGCGTGTGGTGGTGGTGGAGAGAGTGTGTAAGTGTGAAGACGTGTGTGTGTAAGTGTGAAGACGTGTGTGTAAGTGTGAAGACGTGTGTGTGTGTGTGTCAGTGAGAGAGGGTGCGTGTGTGTGGACTTGTCTTTGTGTGTGTGTAGGGGGAGTGGTGGCGCAGTGGTTAGCGCTACGCTGCGCTACGAATCCGGCAACCCGAGTTCGATTTCCGCTCACGGCCAACACCGGCGACGATTATCTGAACCGGTCCTGGGCCTCCCCTAGGTCGACTCAGCCGCAAATTAGTACTCAGTGCGGCGTGTGAACGTCGCCACTGGGGAGACAAAGGCTGCCGGGCGAGGCGCTGGCTAACTGCACTTGTCTCAACAGCTACACGGGGGATCTTTGTCTTTATTGGCTCGCCACGTCTGATGACGACTTTACAATGTCAGCTCCACTGCGGCCAATTCACAAACACCGCGACTGAGCAATCACTTGTGGTCGGCAAGCGAGGCCGACGAGTGGCAGTGCCCACCACCTCCTCATCCTCCTCATCCTCCTCATCCACCTCCACCTCCTCCTCATCCACCACCACCTCCTCCTCATCATCCTCATCCACCACCACCTCCTCCTCATCCTCCTCCTCCACCACCACCTCCTCATCCTCCACCTCCTCCTCATCCTCCTCCACCTCCTCCTCCACCACCACCTCCTCCTCCACCTCCTCCTCCTCATCCACCACCACCACCACCTCCTCCACCTCCTCCTCATCCTCCTCATCCTCCACCTCCTCATCCTCCTCATCATCCTCCTCATCCTCCTCATCCTCCTCCTCCACCACCACCACCTCCTCCACCTCCTCCTCATCCTCCTCCTCATCCTCCTCATCCTCCTCCTCCACCACCACCACCTCCTCCTCTTCCACCTCCTCCACCTCCTCATCCTCCTCATCATCCGCCTCCTCCTTATCCTCCTCCACCACCACCATCTCCTCCACCTCCTCCACCACCACCACCACCTCCACCTCCACCACCACCTCCTCCTCCTCCTCTTCCTCCTCCTCCTCCTCCTCCACCACCACCACCACCACCTCCTCCACCACCACCACCACCACCTCCTCCACCTCCTCCTCATCCACCACCACCACCACCTCCTCCTCCACCACCACCACCTCCTCCTCCTCCTCCTCCACCACCACCACCACCTCCTCCTCCTCCTCCACCACCACCACCTCCACCTCCTCCTCATCCACGCGTGCCAGGCGGTATCGGCTGCTGCGGAGACACTCCCGTTCCGCCTGGGCAGCAGAGGGCAGTGCACTACAGCGATGTTGTACTGCACCACAACGATGTTGTAGTGCACCACAACGATGTTGTACTGCACCACAACGATGTTGTACTGCACCACAACGATGTTGTAGTGCACCACAACGATGTTGTACTGCACCACAACGATGTTGTACTGCACCACAACGATGTTGTACTGCACCACAACGATGTTGTACTGCACCACAACGATGTTGTACTGCACTACAACGATGTTGTACTGCACCACAACGATGTTGTACTGCACCACAACGATGTTGTACTGCACTACAGCGATGTTGTACTGCACTACAGCGATGTTGTACTGCACCACAACGATGTTGTACTGCACTACAACGATGTTGTACTGCACTACAACGATGTTGTACTGCACTTCAACGATGTTGTAGTGCACCACAACGATGTTGTACTGCACCACAACGATGTTGTACTGCACTACAGCGATGTTGTACTGTACTACAACCATGTTGTACTGCACCACAACGATGTTGTACTGCACCACAACGATGTTGTACTGCACTACAACGATGTTGTACTGCACTACAACGATGTTGTACTGCACCACAACGATGTTGTACTGCACTACAACGATGTTGTACTGCACTACAACGATGTTGTACTGCACTACAACGATGTTGTACTGCACTACAGCGATGTTGTACTGCACTACAGCGATGTTGTACTGCACCACAACGATGTTGTAGTGCACTTCAACGATGTTGTAGTGCACCACAACGATGTTGTACTGCACCACAACGATGTTGTACTGCACTACAACGATGTTGTACTGCACTACAACGATGTTGTAGTGCACTTCAACGATGTTGTACTGCACCACAACGATGTTGTACTACACTACAGCGATGTTGTACTGCACCACAACGATGTTGTACTGCACTACAACGATGTTGTAGTGCACCACAACGATGTTGTACTGCACTACAACGATGTTGTACTGCACCACAACGATGTTGTACTGCACTACAGCGATGTTGTACTGCACCACAACGATGTTGTACTGCACTACAGCGATGTTGTACTGCACTACAGCGATGTTGTACTGCACCACAACGATGTTGTACTGCACCACAACGATGTTGTACTGCACCACAACGATGTTGTACTGCACTACAACGATGTTGTACTGCACCACAACGATGTTGTACTGCACTACAGCGATGTTGTACTGCACTACAGCGATGTTGTACTGCACCACAACGATGTTGTACTGCACTACAGCGGTGTTGTACTGCACCACAACGATGTTGTAGTGCACCACAACGATGTTGTACTGCACTTCACTTGACCTCCCGTGCTGCCCGTCGATTAACAGCAGCGGGCACCTGAGAGTCAAAATGAAACAAAGACAAAGATGCCCCGTGTAGTCTTAACAGACTGTTGGGGCAAGTGCTGTTAGCGAGCAGCAATGAAGGCCGGCACGGCGCACGAGGGGGTGGGTGGCCAGCACCACGCCCGACCGCCTTTGTCTCCCTAACCCAGATGTTTAACACATCACACACCAGCTACTCGTTTTAACACTTGAATCGACCGAACACCGCCTCAGATAATCGTCATCGCTGCTGGTGGCCGTGAGCGGGAATCGAACTTCGGCTCCCCGGGGTTCGTAGCGCAGCGTAGCGCTAACCGCTGCGCCACCGCTCCCCGCTCACAACTCTCGCCCCCCCCCCCCCCCCCACTGCTCTCAATGAGGCGGGAAATGGCTCTGGAATGGCCTCTAAGTGGCGGTGATTACAGCGCCCAGGGGCAGGGGGGCTGGGCCGGGGGGCATGAGGGGCGGGGGCGCGGGGGCACGGGGGCACGGGGGCGGGGGCTCCCTCGTCGCTGAGTCGCGCAGCCATCCAATCACAAGCGCGGTGCTGCCGCCGTTATACGGCGATAATCGTGCGGCGTGAGGGTCACGATAATCGTGCCGCGTGAGGGTCACGATAATCGTGCGGCGTGAGGGTCACGATAATCGTGCGGCGTGAGGGTCACGATAATCGTGCCGCGTGATCGTCACGATAATCGTGCGGCGTGAGGGTCACGATAATCGTGCCGCGTGAGGGCCACGATAATCGTGCCGCGTGAGGGTCACGATAATCGTGCCGCGTGAGGGTCACGATAATCGTGCCGCGTGAGGGTCACGATAATCGTGCCGCGTGAGGGTCACGATAATCGTGCCGCGTGAGGGTCACGATAATCGTGCCGCGTGAGGGTCACGATAATCGTGCCGCGTGAGGGTCACGATAATCGTGCCGCGTGAGGGTCACGATAATCGTGCCGCGTGAGGGCCACGATAATCGTGCCGCGTGAGGGTCACGATAATCGTGCCGCGTGAGGGTCACGATAATCGTGCCGCGTGAGGGTCACGATAATCGTGCCGCGTGAGGGTCACGATAATCGTGCCGCGTGAGGGTCACGATAATCGTGCCGCGTGAGGGCCACGATAATCGTGCCACGTGAGGGTCACGATAATCGTGCCGCGTGAGGGTCACGATAATCGTGCCGCGTGAGGGTCACGATAATCGTGCAAGGTGAGCATCACGATAATCGTAGGATGTGATCGTCACGATAATCGTAGGATGTGATCGTCACGATAATCGCACGTCGTAATGGTCATGATAATCGCACGTCGTGAGGGTCACGATAATCGTGTAAGGTGAGCATCACAATAATCGTGTAAGGTGAGCATCACGATAATCGTGCCGCGTGAGCGTCACGATAATCGTACGGTCGGTCGTCAGATTTGCCAAAATAAATCGTTACATGGCTCCGCTTTTAATTCATCATTCTCACAAAATATGCTCAAAATTACAAACTCAACAATCTGAAACATCCTGAACATGCACGCGCAGCTTAGCCGACGAAGCTCACAGCGCTGTTCGTTGTTGATCAATCTAAAGTTTAGATTCTAAACTATTTGTTATTTTACCACTGAGCCGTGTAGCGCTTTGTCAGACGCGACCTGGCCATCACGAACGGCCGCTGTTGCTGCACGAAGTGGCCTGCCGCCTGCAGATTGACTACAGCAGCCACATCCTCTAAACGCGTGATGTTGTTCTGATAAATAATAACAATTATTATTATTATTATGAATAGCAACAAGAACAGTGATCCGTCGTGAGGGTCTCGTCGGGTGTTGGAGGTTATTTGACAGTAATCTTTGGTGGCTAATTAACCGCAAAAAAAACAACAACAACAACTATGGATCAGATAACAAAACAAATATTCCCGTCACTTCCACCGGCATTGATGCGAGCGAGACGCTGCCTCTTGCTGCTGATGCGACGCTGCTTGTTTGGCGATGTTAACTACCTCGCCTGGTACGGAGGAGGTCGTGGGTTCCATCCCGACCCTGACGCCTGCTGCTGCTGCTGTAGATTTGTAGTTTGAGTCTATCTCTCTCTTCCCGTGGTCACTGCTTGGATTTTTCTCCGGGTCCTCCGGTTTTCCCCTCCACAGTTAGAATCAACATCGCCACGCGTTTAGAGTGTGTGGCTGCTATACATGTCCACGTGGTGATGAGCTGCCACTTCATAGAGCAGCTATCAATTGTGGTGGGCAGGTCGCTTCTGACAAATAAGCTATACAGCCGGGTGGGGCTTTACCTGGTAAGATACAAATGTCAAAACCAGTCCGGGTTTTTTGCTTCTATTGAGGCAATGCTGCTGAATGTATCTTACTCCCAGGAAGGACGTGCGGCTGATAGGATGTGTTACACAATTAATATTATTTTTTATTTCTGATGTGGAGAGACGGATGCAGGGTGAAGGAGACATTGTCTGATTATCAATTTTGTTATTTATATTCCGCACGACGCTGATGATTGTTTGAGTTATGGATCATGTAACTACATTACCCAGGAGACACGCGTGTGTTCACGTGTGGCTGTGTTTAGTAGGCAGCGGTAGTGTAGTGGTTAGCGCTTCGAACCCGGCGACTCGAGTTCGATTCCCACTCACGGCCGCCAACACCGGTGACGATTATCAGAACCGGTCCTGGGCCTCCTCTACATCGACTCAGCCTCCAACAGCACTGGAGAGGCAAAAGCGGCCGTGCGTGGTGCTGGCCACCCACCCACTCGCGTGCCGGCCTTCATAGGTGCTGCTGCTACTCGCTAACAGCACTTGCCCCAAACAGCCTGTTGCAGGCTATAGGGGGATTTAAGGGCGATATTTGACTTCTACGTGGGTGGTTGAGTGTGTGAGTGGGTGGTTGGGTGAGTGGGTGAGTGGGTGGGTGAGTGGATGGGTGGTTGATTGTGTGAGTGGGTGGTTGGGTGAGTGGGTGAGTGGGTGGGTGAGTGGATGGGTGGTTGAGTGTGTGAGTGGGTGGTTGGGTGAGTGGGTGAGTGGGTGGGTGAGTGGATGGGTGGTTGATTGTGTGAGTGAGTGGGTGAGTGAGATGTTGTGGTTGAACACAGTATGGTGGTGATTGTTGAGCACAGTGTAGTGGTGGTGGTGGTGAGAGATGAGACGACACAGCCCGTGCCAGATAGAGACCGAGTCTTCAACACGAGGTGAAGGAATCCACAAGTGACGTTCACGGGAAGCAGTGACCACGGCAGTTGTAGCCGGAGAAGAGCAATACGTATGCGACTGACCGCCGGTGGGTGAGCGAGTGATCAGCGAGTGCTGGATCATGAATCAACCGGGCGCAGCAGGTTGATTCATCCCCGTACCTTCGATGAGCACGTTTGGTTACGTACGGTGCGAAAGAAGTTCCACATACACACAGGTAGAGGAGACTGAGCGCTCCACCCCAGAAGAGACGGCAGCAGGAGTCCAACCGAGGCCGAATCTGTGCTGTGCACAGCAGCAGTGATAATTATTGATGGGAGTTGTAGTCAGAAGCTACAGGAAATCGCTACAGCTGGCCAAGTGAAGTGTCTGCACGCTCGCTGATCCTGCGAGGAGTTGCCGTGCCTCAAAGGCTAGAGGAAGTAGCCAACCCCTGTGAGTGCCCGGCCGATGCGCCACATGCAGACGAGATGCTAGGAGAGATCCGACGATTGAGACAAGGTATATCGCATTGTGTGCAAGGATAACATCCCAAGCGAACTGTCGAGGCAGAGTGGCCATGATGTGCAGGCTGATTTTCCATGACATCGTCATAATTGATATATTTGGACCACAGACTGGGTTCCGTGGGATTAGATGCGGTGGCGTAGTAACGACATTATCAGTGGCGTAGTAACGACATTATCAGTGACGTAGTAACGACATTATCAGTGACGTAGTAACGACATTATCAGTGACGTAGATGCTCATGACGCCACGTCATCACACTCCTCTACACATGTACAGATTTGCTAAAGCAGGGGATAAAGGAGAGCCCATTGCTGCTCCTTCCTTTTGTTTAAAGAAATCACCTCTCCATAAGAAATACGTGTTATTTAGACAATGGTCAACTAGTTTTGGAATATCTTCTGGTAAACAGGTCTTCCTTACCAGTGTATCAAGTAATTTAAGTGACTTGTTAACTGGAACCTTAGTGAACAGAGAAATGACATCAAAACTCACGAGAATATTATAAGACCGGAAGCAGGTGGATGGCTTCACTATTCTGGCAAATCTCCCGAAGATGCTGGATGTAATTACCAGCGAAACGTCGTACTCGAATTCTAAATGTTGTGGATTCACTCTTAAAACACACCGGTGGGCTGAAGAAGTAACTAATTGGCGTTTTGTTAATGTGACGCATTTTTACTGATTGAAATTGTGTTAGGTGGTGGAGGGTTGCGACACATTTATACTTGCGTGATCTAACCCAAAAGCCTTTATTATGAATAATACTTGTCGCGAAAGCCTACGTGTTAAACTGGTGTAGTAATTACATTATATTTTATCAGTGACGTAGTGACTACATTATCAGTGGTGTAGTAATTACATTATCAGTGGTGTAGTAACTACATTATCAGTGGCGCAGTAACTACATTATCAGTGGTGTAGTCACTACATAATAAGTGGCGTAGTAACTACATTATCAGTGGCGTAGTAACTATATTATCAGTGGCGTAGTAACTACATTATCAGTGGCGTAGTAACTACATTATCAGTGGCGTAGTGAATACATAATCAGTAGTGTAGTAACTACATTATCAGTGGCGTAGTGAATACATCATCAGTAGTGTAGTAACTACATTATCAGTGGCGTAGTAACTACATTATCAGTGACGTAGTAACTACATTATCAGTGGCGTAGTAACTACATTATCAGTGGTGTAGTGACTACATTATCAGTGGCGTAGTAACTACATTATCAGTGGCGTAGTAACTACATAATCAGTGGCGTAGTAACTACATAATCAGTGGCGTAGTAACTACATTATCAGTGGTGTAGTAACTACATTATCAGTGGTGAAGTAAC